TTATATTATACATTTTCTTGATCGTGTGTCATGATTGTAATTAATATATACACATATGCACATATACATATGTATGCATCGAGCCCATGTTGCATTATTACCATCTCTTAAGCTAATCATATTAACTCTTTCGTATCAAAATTTTTATATGATAATATCAATTCTTTTTCATAAAATAATTAGAACAATATTTTCTATTATAAGTTTCGAACAAATTAAATTAATTTGCAGATTTTTATTCATTTCTTTATATAATATTATATAATACTATACTTCTTATATATTTATAAAACAAATTTTCTTTTTCTTTTGTCTATATTATATTTATAGTTATAATTTTTATAATCTTTGGAAACAAGCACGTGAAGAGATTTTGATAGAAAAGCAATGATTCTATAATTAATATAAATTTCGATATTTATAAACAATGTGTAAATAATATAGTATAGTATTAACTGTTAATCTTCATAAATATATTAGTACACGAAAGAGTTATTACGCAAAATATCATTATATTATATAATATATAAAATAATATTATATTATTATATATACGCATATATATGTATGTATGTATAGTATATATCGTTGGAGGCAACGTATATGGCGATCGATAATCGAAAATAATCGCAATAGACGAAAAATTTGCTAAAAACGAAATGCCAACATTGAAAAATGTTTTGAAAATTGCTAGAGATTAAAAATTCGCTTTGAAATAATTTATTTTTTAGATATTTCGCAGTGTTGACAATAATATTTTGTAATTTCATGCACTTGTTATAATAATGCAACAAAATAGTATTTTTATGCAATTCATTGTTAAGATTTTTCAAGAATACGTTAACTCTTCGTTTATTTTCAAGACAATAATTAAAAAAAAAAAATGAAAATCATAATTTTAAGACAATAAAAACAATTTTCCAAAAAAATTTTAAAAACTATAATAACTAATAATCGTTATAAAACAATAAAAATATATACATGCCTATAATTTTCTAAATAATTTATTAAACCGTATCTTATTAAGCTTGATAAAAAAATCATAAAAAAATCAACTACCAGCAAGTTAAAAAATTTTTCATGTCTTAAACAAAATTATATTGACAATAATTACTTTTATATCTTATTATATTATATATATATAGATTTTAACGTTAGCAGTTATGCGAAACGAAGAGTTAACAATCGTTACATAAGCTTTTTTTTTCAATGCGTTTTAAAACGCAAAAAAATATTTTCGATTGATTTACCTAATAATAAATTAACATGTTTCAAAATGCTAATTTCAAAATTTATTGAATGACAAGGTTCTTTAAGATCGTGATTAAAGCTTTCTCATCGAATACTATATTCGATGATTTCGTATATTATGTTAAAATCGTTATGCTGTTGTAACAGTTTCTGCCGGGCATAATATTACCGACAATACCGACAGGTAATATCAGAGTCACGATTTACTTATTCAAGAATAATCAGTATAATTATAATAATGATACGGACAATATAATGAGAAATGTATTTTTAATACATTGACATTTCCGTGGTATCGCCTTCGTTCCACGGTTCTTTCATTTGGTGAAAAGCCGGAAATTCAAATGACATGCGTTCTAACGAACTGCACGCAATGTAATGCGCCATTATATTTACTACTCAAACGCCAAGCGGAACGATTTGTCATTACGTTAGCGGAAGAAAGTAGCATGTTTAGTTACTATCAAAAAACGTGAAAGTATCACATTTTAATTTTGATAAATATTCTTATTAATTCGTGACCGTAATTTTATATTTGTGGAGTAGAGTCAAATTTATCTTCTAATATAAAATTATAGTTGTCTTTTAAAAAATCAAAATAAGAATGACTATTTTTTGAAATATTATATAATATTTAACTATTAAGAGAGTTTGAGTCAGTTTGTAAATAAAAAACAACAATATTGAAAAATAATTTATTTATAATATTTTATGAAACATAAAATATAAAATAAACAAATGAACGAATTGAATAATAAATAAACTATGCATAATTTTGATAATACATACATATGATGAAAATCGAATATGATAAAAAGCAGAAATAATGAAATGATGATTTAAGAAAGATATGAAAGACCAAAATACTTATTGAAATAATAAAATTGTTAAAATATTAATAAAAATTGAAGAAATAAAGTTAAAAAAAATAGTTTATTAAAATATGAAAATAACTAAATAATTACTATTAATTATTGAAATATGAAGATTCTAAAATGATAAAACTATAAAAGTAATAAAGCATAAGATGAAGGAAAAACTATTACTATTTTAAAATATTAAAAATATTTGAATAAAATATAATGATCTAGTTCAATAATAGTTCAAATAATATTTTATATCATATAAAGATAGTATAATCATTATATGACTCTACTCTGCCATAATTTGGATTTTTCAATCATAATTTGGATCTTTTTTTTTTAAATCGTGACTCACAATTCAGTGCTACATCAGACATATATTATATACGCTATTATATCGAAGTAGTAACTGGCCTAACGTTTATCCGTTTATTAAATCAAAAAAGTGGAGTTGAACTGGAGATACACATTAAATATAATCACTACGAATGATACGTAGGATAAGTTATAATGCTGTTCGAACAATAATACTGATATTTATATAAATATATAGCTCCGATAATAATTTTATGACAATAAAGAATAACAAAAATATGGGGTGAGCCGATCGCAGCGCTCTAATATATTGAATACGAAGGGAACCAATTGTTTCTGGATCTAATTATATTGGTAAAGCTGGAATCCCGTCAGATGGAGTTACATTGTACTTTTTGGACACTTATGATTAGAGCTCTCGCGCTTGCTTTTTTCGGTACATCCTGTATCATTTTAAATAACAATTAGCTTTACATATATGTATAATCAAAAATACTATCTATGCAATATTAAACGAAATAAAAAAAATTAAAAGTCGCATTGAAATATGAAAATGATATATTTCATTATATTTTTGATTCAAAATTTTAATTAATGGCTATTCACAAATATTAATCAGGAGAATTTTATTACATTAAATTTTATTACATTAAATTTGTATTATCATGTTATATTATAAAAGAATATTTATTACCAATAATAGATATAATATTATTAAAAAAAGTTTAATATTATTAGTTTTTATGAGTACAATATTTATGATCTTATAATATTAATATTTTTAATAAGAATAAATTTAATTAATATAATTGTTACTTGTTATAATTTTTAAATGATTTTTTCTTATTTTAAATATTTAAAATTTTTAATATATTTGTATCTAAATTTTCTGCAATAAGTTATAAAGTATAGTAAAATATTTTATTATTATATATGTATATTGTTATATTTCTTGTTAATGCTGTTCGATGATACAATGCTGTTAATAGATACAAAAATATTTTCTTTATTCATTGTAATAATTAATATGTTATTCATAATTTTACATATTATTTATAGAAAATTAATTACAATATTTACAAATGTAAAGCGACAAAAAAACTATTATGTAAAAGCAAATGTCTTGTAGCCAAACATACATTAATTGTAGTTATTCGAAGTATTTAATATTTATTAGTTCTGTTTTTTGTCGCTCATAGAAAAAACAACTATTGCGATAATTTTAATTATATAAAAAAAATTTTCATAATTATTCAAGTATCACAGAAATAATTTTTAATTACTTTGATTCAATTTTTCAAATACGATTTAAAGAGCCATGTATAAGAGATTGACTAAGAGTGCTGATGAGCTTGCTACGCTACTGTATTCGGGCGCAATTGTAGATGGCGTAAAGTTCTGGAAATGCTTGAAATATATATTATTTATTGATAAACATGAAAGTACTAATTTTAAGTAAACTAAATCGTAATATATACTATAAAAGGATATGTTTAAAAATATAAATATAAATATATATAAATAAATAAAATAAACATAAATATACATTATATGTATATATTGTGTATGACGTGTTACATGTTCCGTACACATATAAGTATTATGTGTCGTTATATGTACATTTTATAGATATAATTTAAATAATCTCGAG